TCTGGGCCATTCAGTTACCCTTCTTTCTTTTATACCCATTCCGTTGGCCACCCTAATCTTTTACTATTATATCTTTTACACCGTTTTCTGTCCACTGTCCTTATAGAGCCTTCGTTGAAAGTGTCGATTTAGGACCTGACAGCCATAGGTGTTCCTTCTGTTGCCATTTGCATTGGCTGCTTCCGTTCTTCACCTGTTTTGATTTACTTCTGTTCTGAAGGTGGAGTTAACATGTTCCTCTGAAACTTTGGAAACCACTTACAAGACTACACAGCATCATATTAAACTGTGATCCACATTCTCACACTGAGACAACCTCAGATCTTCCTCAGGTACATTCCATGCTATACATTCATTTTAACTGTACTAATGAGTTTCTTAACTCTTTTGATGAATTTCTTACGTGTTAAACATTTAAGTGATGGTAGACAGGGATATATATCTTAGGATCTTTTTTAAAAGGCAATATTAGAAGCATCTACACTTATCAGTAATGCAGTATTGAATGAATCACCAAATGCATTTAGTAGTACTGAGATAACGTTTCAGAATTTGAAATCACGGTACGTTATTAAGCCTGATACTGCTCAACATGAGCTATCGTATAGGATTTTAAATATTTGTATACTTCTTGTTTCAATATTATATCAGTTAGTGAACTGATACGATGGAATAATATTTAGTGCGGATAAATTTGGCCAGAAGCCGTAAATCCGCGAAGAATTATGAAGACTCGGTACATCTGCATGGACATCATACAAAAGGAACATCCTCAGAGTGAGGTTAGTATAATAATGCATACATAATAGATAAAGTAAACTTGTTTTTTTGGAATACAAATGGAAAGCCAGAGATTTGCAGTTGATAGAATGTGACAGATGAAGTATTTCCATGCTCTGATTCTGAAAAGAATCTTCCATTTGCAAAATTTGTTTTTTCTTAAAGCAGAATGTTGCATGCAGCATACAGGAATAAAATGCTGAATAACTAATTTAATTAAATATGACTTATGATACAGATGCCTTGTTGAGACACTTTAGAGTTTTGTTTATAATCTTAACAACCGATATGCTTTGTCATGATTTCTTGCTAATTCCAGGCTAAGTGGTTGTCTTCTGATGTGGATCTTGTCGAGAAGATATTATTTTACATTGAAGGTGAGTAATTGCATATTTTTGAAACAGGACTTGATATTAAAATAGTAGGGTAAAAGGCTGATAATCTTAACAAGCATATCTAGTGACTATGCGACTTTCCCTTGTTGCTTGTGGAGAAAATGCAATCCTCCGTTCATGTTCCGTGACACACGCGATTGTGTTCAATCATCATCTGGCATATTCATCCTCTCTGTGCATCTTACAGTTTTGAATATGTTATTTGTGCTCAGATATAGCAAGGAAATTAAAATCTTCAGCTTGATAATCAAAAATTAAATTGCGTTATTTCTTACCTTACTCTTTGAACCCTTGGTTCTGTCAGGCAGTAAGATTTTTGAACCATAGTGACCTTATGGATAGTCAGGAGTTTAATTTAAATCAGAAGTTATTTTATTAATGAATATGAGATGTTCAACTTATGCAGTTTATTAAACTGAAAGAACAAAATGAAGGAATGAAGAAGCATTGATGAAAAAACTAAGGGAATTTGACCAAGAAGTTGTCAAATATGAGAGTTTAATCTGACAATACATATAATTCAGTGTTTTAGAAATAATTCTCGATATTATTTGTGTATTTTATCAACACTGAATTTGATATTGTGCTACAGAACTTGTACATATTTCATTTCTAAAAAAATTGAAGAAACATAAGCTGGTAAAAACAGGAAATACGAGAGAAATTTTTTGGAATTAAACTTATTCAAGAAGAAAGGAAGTGCAAGAAAACTGATATTTCTGATGACCTGCAAGTAACAAAAGCAATAGAAGGACAAGGAAATAAATGTGAACTTGAAAGATAGCTTTAAATTCAAGTTATAAAGCAATGGATGTCTGCTGCAAGAAAACTGTGGACCTAAATTTTACCAAGAGTACAGTTCAAGATATCCTGTTATAAGAAAATATAGAATTATTGCCATTGGAGAGTGAACTGTTCACAAAATTAGTGTATAGCGTGTGGTGACAAGTTACTTTAGTACAATTGTATAATTGCCATTATTAAATAAAATTTAAAAGAAACCAGTTCTTTAGTATCTGTGTGAATTATGTTACACACCTGCGTCTTATTTACAAAAGAAGGTAGGCAGTTTTCTATATTGAGTTCAGAATACTTTTTTTTAATATACATTTGGTTTTGTACATAACCTAACCATGGTTGATAGTCTGCTTTCCTGGTAAGATAATTGTTTTTGTACTACGAAGGTTACTAGAAACTGTAATATCTCATTACAGTTTGAAAGGTGTCTATGCAAATGAGGTACTGTGAATGTGTAATGTAATGTAACTTTTAAATGTAAAGTTTGTTTTCTATTTGGTGAAAATTTTTAGTAAGGGATGCATTAGGCTATGTATATTGCAGTTTGTCATTAATATATATATTTTAATTCCATTTGCCATGTTTTGGATGATGAGAGAACTGGTAAAAAAATGTTGTACTACAAAATATTTATGTAGTATATAATGAATTTTCTGAATTGAAAGTAAGATGCTATAGAACTATTTTGACTAATAAATGTGATGCAACAGCAGTAAAGCCTATAAGGACAGCATTGCCCACTGAAAATATGGAAGAGGTATTTTTGGTGTCATTTAATTATACTTTTGCAAATTTTGTTCAGTGATTTGTAGCAGAAATTATATATTTTATATAGTAATGTATAATATGGCCAGTGAATTGAAGCCATTACCTTAATTCATGTATAACAAGAAGTACAAGGAACAATGAAGCAATATACACAATTAAATGAAAACAATAGGACCAGCAAGAACAAGAAGACATGATTAAAAAGAGTCAAGAATAAGGATTATAGATAAGTGATCATTCTGTGCATATTGTAAAAAGAATGGAAAAAGCATTACAGGGAAAATAGTTAAATAGTTACCATTACAAAATAAAGGATACCAAGGAATAGACCTTACAGAATGACTGAATAACTGGAATAAGCAAATACAGTGTTAATCAGTCAATAATAAATTTATATATAGAAGTGAGAGCATATTTTGTACAATGAAACATTGAGGTTATGTAACAGTGACTCATAAGAATAACATAATTTACAGCAGTGTTAGATTATAAGGCATGGAGTAGTGATGGAAACAAATACGTTGCAGTTTAATAAAGAAGATGTGAAGAAAGGAAGTAAACTGTGTTGCAGCATTTATATGGATTTAAAAAAATATATGCAGTTTACGAAGCCAAAAAATTAGGAACAAAGTTTACACTTTAAATTGCATATTATAGTGTGAAGTATTTGCCGAGGAAACTAAAGGGACTTTTTTTATTTTACATTGATTAATAATGCTACTGGTCAAAAATATTATACATGTTCTATTAGTATCCTTGGAACTATGTTAATTTCTTTTGAAAATTTGTTGAAAATATATTTTAACAAGACATTTCAGTCATTAACACATATTGGAATTAATATTAAAGTTTAATCTGAATTTGGTAGTATAACTGATTGCATTGTCTGAATTGTAATTCTCAGAATTCAGTAAGAAACCAGAACTTAAATCAGAGAGGCTGTATTTCCTTTTCTAAACACAAGGTTGACTCCTGATTCATAAAAGAGTACTTATACATATTACTTCGAACAAAGAAGTGTACATTCCACTAAGAATTATTTCATGTTCTGTTACCAGATAGTTCATAATTGAATAAGATGAAGAAGGTGAATTATAATGCCCCTTCATGACAAAATAATTCTAAGAGTTGAAATTATCCTACATAATTACTGCATAGGCATGAAAGTAAGGTTCCTTCATTTTGGTTTTGGGATAAGAGAAACTATAAGGCAAAGAATAAACTTTGTCCGTCAAATATTGAGAAAGAATAACAGTTTAAAGTAGATATACTTAAATTCATGAATATAATACAGGACATTTACAGTCAGAAAAATTTTGCATATAGTTCTGAAATTGTGTTTATTGCACAAATATTGATTAATTTGCGATATGCATTTATGACTAAGAGTTTGTATATGAAAATTTTTCTTTTGTCATACATTTTATATATAGTGAGCATCATTTCTGATATTTAATACAGATTGAAAATTAGTTGCTGTTCAGATACAAAAAGTACTTTATGATGCATGATATTTATTTATACATTTTATTGTATAGTTTACTTAGATTGCTATTCTGTATGTCAGAGTGAGTCATGTTCTTTACTGGAGGAGATAATCAATTGGTAATGCTGAACAAAAGTCAAATCTTCAAGATAAAACTGCAAAGTATTGGAATCATATTGGTACAGCAAGAAACGTGTTCATACTTTGCATACTCTTGGAAGTTGCATACTGAAAAGTGTATATTGTATTAAGAAGTATTTCGATAAAGACAAGAAGAAAAAGAGGAAGAAATGTGATGAATTAATTTTGTAGAAACAAATGTAGTGACAAACAACAAAATCATTGAGAAAGTGGTGAAAATTATAAAGTAAATGAAGTTTCATCATCCAAAGAGTGAATTATTTGATGCCATGCAAAAATTGTCTAGTCTTAAAATAAGAGAGGCATAATATTGAAGGTCCTTAAATTAAAGTATCCAAGAGTGAATGAATTTGTAGCATGTACAGTTTTTTTCTCCTTAAGCAGCAACGGAGTGTCGCATGCTCATATATCTGTGACCATTACCCAATCTTCACAAGCAGAGAAGAACATAGCCTTGCATTTTAGTTAGGAGTTTCAGAACCAACTTAAAGTAGTATTCCACATAAAAATACTAGTACATGTGCATAATTCCTTAGAAATATTAATTGGTTAAAAGAATGAATAATAGACAATAAGTTGATTCAAAGTTCAGTAAAAAAAATGTATATAACTTGATTAATATATAGTTGAGTCAATGATATTTTGAAGTAGGAACAACTACTGACTCCGTAACCGGCAGCCTTATAAGACTCTCTTGCCTCTCCGGCAGGTTCAGGGCTGGATGGAAGGCGGACTGCTGCACTGCTCTTCATGTGGAAACACATCCAGCAACACATTGAACATCTTAAACCAGAAATATATATGTGATTTACTTAGCTTGAGATGAGCATCACTAAATAATTCTTAGGAATCTGAAACTGTAAACTTTGAAAAAATACAAGAAAGGCAAAATCGCCAGATTATTCACGTAAGTTATGTGCTTCAGACGGAATTTTGATACCATGATATGAGCTAAAAGCTTAGATTGCTATAATTTACAGAGAATGTTCAAGTCAGCATGAAGCAAATAGCTTTTGTATGGAAATTGATACTGGGAAGAATCACCATTTAAGAAAACATACCACACTGGAAGCTATGACAATAATGAAGTTTATTTTGGCATAACCATCAATGTCATTCAGTTAGAAGCTGATTGCAAAAGATTGTAGAAGAATATGTGTGTGTGTGTGAATTTCTTTACAGAACTAGAAGATTTGATAATTTCAGATTTCAAACTCATTCAACTGTTATAAGCAGCAATACAGAAACATTTTCTTCAAGAGTAACAACAAAACCCATTATCAGGTTGAAACTGAAATTGCTATCTGCTGTTGAAACCATAAATACGAGTCAAAATGCACTCCAGTTACAGTATGGTTAAGAATACAAAACAGTCTAAGTACAAATAAAGTGACCACTTTCAAATCCAGTGGAAAGAGAATTCTAAAGTATCCTCATCAGTACATCTCTGACATACCAGCAGTAAAGTAAATGTCTACTTTGAGTCATATTCAATGGCATGTCGAGAAGAAACAGTTATTCAAGATGTGTACGTGTAATACTACAAATTGTTCATGAACACAAGTACTTCCTTTTTGGACGTGCCAGTAAATTCATAACATAAATTATATGTATTGTCAGTTACTTAACTGCTTCCCTGATTATCCTGGGTTATCTCAGATTGATGATTTTGTTCTAAAAAATAACATGAGTTAATTCGGGACAATATTTCTTCTTCTGTCCCATTGTTACTGAACTGAGTTAATTTGGGTCATTCAGAAAATATATCAGACTCTAGATGTCAGTAAATGATAGACTTTCATAAGTCATTTACATATTTTTATGTTAGATCACACACAAATAGGAGGACTTCTATGCTTCTGTAGTTCATGTCATAAGTTCTTACGTTAGCTGCAGTGTCATTTGTATGTTGTTATTATGAAGAAGTTAATTCTTATGAATGATGGAAAGTGACCCAAGATAACTCAGTATAATAATCATTACAACTATATAAACAACATTTTTACAGTATGATTATGTTTTTTTTATAAACACACATATCAGTAATTTAATTTTTGTTGGTATATTAAAAATTTGAAACAAAAATGTATAATTCTTTTTGGTCCTATTTTCTGAAAATATAATATATTCCACATTTTTATGTAGTTCGGCATAACACTCTTGACTTTTCTGATGTTTTGTAATTGGCATGTTTAAGTTTAATGTCTTTATTTAATAAATTGTAGATAATTGTAAGAAAGGACTAGGAAAATCATTTGTTGAGAGATTGTAATTTAATGTTGATATTACTGTTGCAAAATACTTTTATAATTGTAGCATACAGATACTTATCAGTAGGTTTGTGAATATTTATGTTGTATTTTAGGAACAGATCGTATGTGAACTTGTATGATTTCTGGTGTTCTCAATAAAATGTACATGTAAATGTTAGTGATCCCCATATAATTCTGAGTACTTTGAAGAACTTGGAAATACCATTAACAGATGTATGATTTATTGCCCTCACTTATGTCAAGTATTTATTATAGTGGATACAAATTTATTGTTATATAATTTCCAGAACTTGATTTAACTTTTATCATATGGGATTTAAATCCACACACTACAGGGCTTCTGGCTATACTTTCAGCCACGAAAAATTAAATATATTTTTAAGTTATTCATGAAATACAAAGTTTGGATAATATCAGAGCCCATTTGGTTGTCTGAGTGTTTGTCATGGCTTCTGCTTTGTGATGTCAGAGGCTACTGTAATTTATGGCTGACACACATTTTTAGGTTAGGTTGTATTAAAAGCACATAATCGTTTCTGTTGTGTATTTCCTGTTTTGTTAGATACTGAGAGATATTTCTTTTTATTACCACCTGCCCATAATCTCTTCACTTTATTATGCCACTTCACTTTTGATCTTCAATTTAGTTTCAGATCTGTACTTGCTGTTGGTATTCCATTCCTGTAATGTGGCAAAACTACTTTAATATTGATTTTCTGTAAGTTCTGCTCCACTCATGCTCCTCAATAATAACGACCATGCTGCCTGCTTTCTTCTTAAGTTTCTTCATCTGCATCAATGAGCATACTTTGAGGTTATTGTATTTATGAGCATTAACCAGAAATAAGAATTCTGTGTGTTTATATTTGCTCTGTGGTTTATGTATGGCATTCAAAGTTAAATGTTAAATTAGGTTCAGCTCTGCAAATCTGTATTGTAAAATAGGTTATAGTAGCTGTTTCTATGTTATGTAGGGGAGTTGACGGTAACAACTGCTAACTCCCCACCGGCCTCAAGCACGCCACCCATGGGAGGGGGAGAAGGATCTCCAAGAGATAGTCGGGGGCCAAATAATGCCCTGAGTCCATCACCACCTGTGGCAGTTGCCAGTTCTGCAGCTGCTTCCTCCTCGTCCTCAGTAGAAGTTATACCCACAAGTCGCACAGTTGTGACAAGTCCCTTCTCTGTCAGTCGAGAGTATGCGTTCACTCACATCCATGCTCAGCCAGGCCAAGTAAGTACATTTTCCTTATTTCTGGCTTTCTGTGGTGAAGATTAACTTTATTCCTGAGTAGGATTAGGATTTGGGGTTTCTACAGCGAGTCTGAAGATGGCTACCTTTAACCTTTATTCCATGTTGCTTCATCTCTTCATACTGTGCATTATTCTGTTATCACTACCAGATTTATATGATGAAAGTGAACAAAAATCATTTGATATAAGCAGGATTTTTATTAGTAGGATTAAACTTGTTTCCTCAGTCAGACCATATAATACTTTTCTGTCACATTCCTTATTTATGTTTACAATACGCTACAAAAATGAATCGTGTATCTGAAACCAGAAGTGATGTAAGCATACAACTGGCATCATAATTCACAGTCATTTGTAATCTCCTTGTATTTGTCCATGTGTGGCAGTTCTCTACTGTCTGTTAATTGCAATTAATTATTTATTAGCTCTTAATCAAACACACCAATATTTGCCTTGTTTGAAGAAAAACATGGATTTATGTTAATTACTTTTCCAAGATTCCACAGAAGAACAAAGGTGATAACTGTACTTCACTTGATCATCCATATTCATTGGTAGACAAGTTGGCAGAATAGAAGTCTAGCGTTAATACAAACTTCACATGTGCAAGTTTGAGTCCTGGGGTTCGCATGATTTTTTTCAGTGCGTATTCATACAAACACCCATTTAAATTTTGCAGTTGTATATTATTCAACTATATGTTTAAAATTTCCATGTGGTAATCATACCAACAGCAATCAGAAATGAATACCAAAATATGTAGATTGTGATATTCAAAACAGAATATATAATTATTGTTTCTCTGCAACGCATGAGCATTAAAGTATCTTTTGTTTATGAACAAAAAGCAGCCATTAGTATCATTATCCACATTATCATTGTATTATTTGTGTTGCATTTGCAAGGCTAGAAGTATGAAGGAAGCGAGTATTTATTTTATTTTTCCGTGATTTGTTGCCTATCGACATTCTGATTTAAAGTTTCTGTGTCTGAATCTGAATGTAAACAAAACAGTTTAGTTGTAAGAAACGCACATATTTTAGAATTATTTTTGTTCTGTGAAGAAAACCAGTTAATTAGGCAAAATATGAATTAATATGTTCGCCCTTGAAAAGACTATTTCAATACCTGGCATCTTTAATACGATATCCAGAATTCCTGATCTCATTCAGCTTGGTACAGAGTCAACTAGAGACTGAAAATAATACTGAGACTTTTAGTGGCATGCAGTCTCTTTATTAGTCAACTGTTTACAAATTATGTTTCTAATCAATACTTCTTCGTGCACTAGAGAGTAAAACTCTGTCTCTACATGTCTGTTTCTTTGCAGTTGTTCAGCTACCCAAGTATCAGCCCTGTCAGTGCCATGTCTGTGTCAGGTGTGATCAGTCCTACCAACCTTAGCCTCTTCACTTCTCCTGTCACAACGCCTCGTACTACTCCTCGTTCTACGCCCGTTCCTCGTTGGAATGCTCCATTCATCAGCTTGGATGAAGACTATAATATGATCACACCTCTGATGTCTGGGAACGTTAACAACCCAGAACCTAATGCTGGCGCTCTCATGGATGATGGTATGTGATTTTCTTAATTTGTGTTGTCAGAAATCGAATTATTCTGAAAATTCTGTGTAATCTGGGAATAATAACTTGAACCAAGACGCACTGGAGTTTAAAGTCCTGTGACTCACAATTGCATTATTATAAGATGAAAATATTGTTTTCTGACAGAACGATATTTCAACACGGTAGTGCACGCCAATGAGGGTATGGACACGAGTCAGGCCTTGGGGTCTGGAGGCTCAGGCTCCAACGGAAGTCACGGGTCAAGTGGCGGTACCCAAACACCTCCGTCGCGGACGCCAAACCCCGGAGGCTCGACTCCGGCCGGCGCTCCGTCTGCGCCACCTGCCAAGTCACAGTCATCATAAATCAGAGTCAGACTAGCAGCGTTCATTAGGTTTTGCTCAATTTGTGTACGTTCAGGTGGTCTGGGCCCGACAGCAAGACAGAGAAGCAATAAAGGCAGCTCTCTCGCTCTCCATTGCCGACACAGTGCTTATTATTCCTGCCAAGTTTTCAGCATGCCATGGGATGTCAATATGTCAATAGTCAGTCTGGTCAATGATAACTCTGTGTTGTATATATTAATATTGTATATGGACTGGAGTCATCACAATTTTAAATAGGGAAACTACGTTTCTTGTTACCAAAGACTTTTAGCCTGCTACAAAATGCACAGTGGTGGCTCACACATGTGAAAGAGAAGAACTAATCACATTGAAGGTGAATGTCATTTGTTTTATGCGGTAAACTCAAGTTTGAGACATAGCTATTAACATTTTTGTTGCAGTTTGTTTGCTGTTTGTCACAGGATTTATTGAATCTCAGCAGCATTACAATTAAGTTTTTTGTTTGTTTTTTTCAAAATTTTTAACTAGGATCTTGCTCTCAGCTTCTGATCTAGGTCTGTATTATGCTAATACTGCCATTTCCTTAATAAGGAAAACTTGCAGTTTGTTGAAAATGTTTTGCAATGCAAAAGTAGGGCCTACTGTACATATTTATTATTTTGTTTTATGTATGTTTACTTTTTGTATGTATGTGCATTTCATATTAATTTAATAGGGCATCTAAAGTAGGGTACATCTATAATATCTACATAAATTTAGTTGGATGAATTAATTTATGCAATCTAATATGAAAATTATTACGTTTTGGTGTTTATTTTGTTTGTTTATTTTATTTTTTCTTTAACATAATTGTATGTTACAATATGCTGCTTCTTTAAGTTTTGAAATAGATTTTTCAGTTTGTTATTTTTATATATGAATATTATATCTTTTTGAAAAGAAGTTACATCATTATAAAGTAAGGTATTTGTCACATAGCTAATTTTATAAAAATTCTATGGGGAAAGATTCAAATCAGGCTTTAGTAAGTGACTTGAGTGCGGAGTACTAGTCAGTGGGTCAGTGGACAAGAATACCTGGGATGAGAGAACTGGTACAGAAACTGTAAAGTCTGTGATATGACCGCATCTGCTCATATTGTAGCACACTTTCTTTGTGTCTTTGCCACCCTCTTACCTTTTACTGTGCAATATTATTCCTCCATTTCTCCTGTCCTTGGGATGTAGAATGTGGCTCATTTCTTTGATCTGTCAGATTCTTTTATCATCTCGTCTTATTCTGTGTATCTTCTTCCTTATGTACTTTTTCTCAAAAAAACAGTTTTTTTAAAATCTGTAAGTGTTGGTTGCAAGAACAGTCGTGGGGTTGGATGGTAGGGGGAGAGAGAGAGATTGCCTTATACGTGGAGTGCAACTGCTGTATTGCACATGTGTGGAGCTAGACATTGATAATATCAAATGTAATTGAAGAATTAAAGACAGTACTAGCATATTGTTAGGTTTGGTCTTAAACGAGAGGAGACTGACGGCAGCGTCTCGATGACTACGCCGGAGCGAATGTGCCATCTGTTGAATAATGCGCAGGTCTCATTCATTTCATGAAAACAAGATAGAATTAGTTGAAATTTTGTGCCATCTTAATGTATTAATGAAACACATGTTTGTTTCTTAATGCGATGTAAGCCGATAGTGAAAAAATTATGATGCAAGCAGACGGCAGAGTAAACCAATCGATCACATCGTCGGCTTTACGTGATTATTTAAGGCGAGAGGCGCGAAAGTTAAGGATATCCGAGCCGCAGCGCAGCAAACCAATTGTAATAAGTAGTGTTAGACCAGCTACATATTCTTCTTTTGGGCCACACATGTTAACAGCCAGGATGCAGAATCTCAACTGATCATTTCTTATATTACCAAAGAGGAATCAGCTGTGAAACTAAGGTTAGCAGGTTGACTTGTAGGGCTTCTTGCAGGGGTACAAAACTTGACTAGCCAGCCAAATCAAAATGTAGTAAGGCCTGCTTCCCACGAGGCCTCTGTCAGTAGTGTAGGCGTTCAGCTGGGAAAGACTTTTGATAAATAGCATCTTGTTATATATTGTTACATATACCTACTGTTGATAATATTGCAGATTAGTCAGTTGGTTCTTTATTGATCACGTGAATAAAAGGCTCAATATATTAATTGTATATAGACATTTTCCTTCGGGAAATGAAAGCTAGCATACAGTGGATAGCATCACATTTTTATAGAACCTTTTTAGTGTTTGTTTCTTTTTTTATGGAAATCATAAATAACATTTGTGCAGTGAGTGTTGTAGATAATAACTTAGAGACAGACATCAACATCAGGATATGCTGCTTATTTTTATAGGATATCATTTTGCCACATTTTGGCTGTGTTTGGGCTAAGGTTAATATGGACTGTGACACTCTAAATAGAATATTACCCCATGGCCCAAAGTTTACAAGGATTTAGGGACATTTATGAGTAGTAGCAATTACTTATAGTCTTCCTCTATACCAGCATGCCATATAGTAACCATTAGAAATGGAAGAAGACAGTCTGGAGATACATAGCCTGGTTTTGTATGCTGTCAGATTATAAAAAGTTTGTCATTTAAACGTATTAAAATGACTTTAGAACACTTTAAAGAAGACACGTCAAATGGGAGAATATAATGCTTTAACTTCGAAAATGCGTTGTTAAAATTGTGACATAAAACGATTTACCAAAGTCACGTAAATTTCAGAAGATGAGGTCTTGAAATTACCAGTAATGAGCCTGTAGATTCTTATGGTTTATAATATACTGCTGATAAATCTTGTATGTCTTGTAGGGTGTTGTTGATCTGAAAGAGAGAAATTTGAAAGGCAAGGGAGGACAAATGTTGCCTTAAGTCAAAATTAAATGTTTGTAGAGTAGTAGAATAGCTTTAAAAAGATGTTGGGGGAGGGGGGAGATCGGTTTTGCTCTTTCATCGTAGAGATCCCAAAGATGCCTCGGCACGTCCGAGAAATGGAAACGTTTGTACCACAGCAATAAGATGAACAAACTTACCTGTAGTGCCTGAGATGGTAATGTGCTCCAGAAAAACAGAGAAACAGTAGGCAGTGCTGGCTGCCTTCCCTTTTGGAGACTTTTGGTAGCTGCTTAATATTTTTTTTTTTTTTTTTTTGTGCTGGCTGCCTTCCCTTTTGGAGACTTTTGGTAGCTGCTTAATATTTTTTTTATTTTTTTTTTTAACTGATTATGTAGGAATTGGTAATTGTAAAGCAATTTTCAAACATCTGTACAGCACTGCAAAATATGTATGCAACCTTTTGAATACAAGTTGCAGTAATGTATAGCTATGATACAAGAGATACGTAAAGGTCATTGGTTACTAATAATTCTTTGTAAACGGTTGAAAATATTGTGCTTTTATAGTGAATCATAAGGTATTAATAATGCTACCCAGGTAACATTTTGTATTAGCTCTGCATTGAATTTGGTCTAAGTGTAGCCTTAGTACCTTTCAGATGAATTTGTGCCCATTCTCGAAAGTGATTCATATTTTATCTGCAGAATAAAATTGAAGTATGGTTATTCAGTTCTTTTAATACTGCTCTGTCACTGTTTCTCGTGCAACTTTTTTATTGAAAGCTTTAATACATTGAGAAAAAATACTGAAAAAAAAAACTATGATATATAATCCAATGTACTGAACCAATACAGGATGCATCCTGGGTGTCCAATAATATACTGTAACATATATACAGTTAGCACAGTTTATTAATAGTGACAGTAAATGTCAAGATTGAATATGTACATTTTGTCTTCAATTCTTGATACTTTTACATGTATTTAACTTAAATTGATTTGTGCCTCATATTCAAAAGGGAATGTTGACTTGTGCTTCAAGCCGGTTTCCCTGCAAATTTGTTTGAGTAGATTTTTTAAATCACTAAAACCAAAAGAGGAAAAAAACTGGGTTTGATGTGTTAGATAATATAGAAGAAATATTTAATTTGTATGGAGCCAATGTTAGTGTTGGATTGTGTAAATAAATCCACACTTGAAGTTGTTGTTTAAATTATAGTAGTATTACTGGAATCACTAGGCCTACTAGCGATTCACTACTGTTTCAAGGATTTTATAGTAGGCTGTAATGCAGTGGGAGACTGGGAATATGCTTGTTTGCCAATTTGGATGATATTTTGACGGTACAAATTGTCATTGTGATACTACTTTGTTTTATATTAATCTAATTAGAATGTACTGTTTTGCCTGGGAAGATGGCCAGAGACCTATTTGTGATTCTGCTTTCTCTTTTTCTTTCATGTTGTTGACAAGTTCTTTTAGAGAAGTTATAATAGACCAACATGAATATGGGCTGCCTTTCCTTTTTGTTAATTCCTAACAATTTTCCAGTCAATAAAAATAAATCATGCCAAACAAGACCAATCTATGAAAAGTGAACTGGAACGTTCAAGCATAACTGTGCGTGTTCGAACAGTATGGAAGTGTTACACTCATGAAAGTTGTATTCATCATTATATGTAACAGGCATATAAAAAGTATAAAGTACCTGGTAATATCTGTTATTTGCAGTAAAAGTCATACATAACCATAATCTTAAATGTATTGATGTTTTTCACATATGTTAGTGAGAATGCTCCAACATGGAGTTCTGTGTGAATCCTCAGTAGGCTGGTGCTCCCAGGAATGGAACATAGTGCGCAGCAGCGTACTACTGTGAACAGCGGGCAAAACGTTGTGCCTTCCAAAGCTGATTCTGTACCTACATGTCTCCAACCTTCAGTCATATCCATGCTAATTGTAACAACCCCTTTTTAATTTATTTTTAAAAATTTTTAATTTACAGTATAAAGTATTTAGAGAAATATCTCATTTAAACTGTTGCTATGTAACAGTTGAAAGAAACAAACTTATCTTAGAATGAAAGATGGCAATCCTAACGTGTCACAAGTCTTTTTTCTCTCTCCTGGCTTAAAAGTATGACATCAGTTTTGTTTTAATATTTGTGGGGGGGGATAAATTAGTTAGCCCATATAAAATGGAAATGGCAGTAAAAGATTCTAATTATTCCTGAAGAAGAAATAACTGTATTAAAATTATTTGCTTATGTATCCATAAATACTAGACTCTGCTTTCATTGAAATACATTTTATTTAAGATTCGTCCATTTTTAATTCTGTCCAAAAATGCAGAAAAATATTATAAAATGGCATGCATTAACAATAAATGTCATCTTTCTTTGCAGTGTCTGACTTTCGTTTATTATTAGCTGAGTTTCTGTAACTGGTTGGAATCACAATAACTTTGAAGGGATCCTGGGAAGCAATGCAAGAAACTATTTCATATAGTCAAGTAATAAACATTTTTATTTAAGAACCTCCATTGCAAAAGAAACATTAAATAAAGTTTGTTTTCAATTAAAACCCTACGTGTCTCTGTTATTGCCATACATATTTGTCAATAATTTTCCTGACAGGTTTCTTTATATAAATGATTTCACAGAATTGCTGACAAAACTAACAATGGACAAGTGGAAATTATGCCCATGAATTCCAGCTCTGCATTGAATCTGCAGCTTTGAAGCTATTTACCTAATGCTTCTAATCACCTCTTCTTGTATTTTTAAAACACTATTTATGGTTCAGCACTTAATAACAAATTTTATCTAAGATTATTCCAAAAGAAATTATTGGAGATTTACTGGCCATATATGGTCTTGGGCACATGTACATCCCTTCAGGGTGCTTATTAATATCACAATCTGTGCATTTATTCTTCCTTCTGTACATGTAGCAACTCGAGAACAGCTACTAAACCCTTTGTAAATGTGGCAAGCACAGACACTAGGGAATGAATCTAACAGATGAAAAATTACATTTATGCTGAAGTTGGGAACAGATTGCATGTGGGGAATTCTTGTAACCATTCAGTTAAAAGTCATCTATCTCCCTGTCTCCTATCTAGAAGGCTGAAGATTAAAATATACAAAACTACTATTTTATCTGTTGTATTTTATAAAACCTCATCTCTCACCTTAAGTAGAGAACATACATTGAGGGTGTTTGGAAACAGTGTCAAGGAAAATATTTGGACCTAAGAGAAAATTAGAGTAAATGCCAGGATGATGGAAATAAAAGTTGGAAGACGCTTTCAATTGAAACTTTATTAAAATGCACTCTTAATATTCTATTTTAGTAATTCAACTTAATAGATTATAATATAAGTTATATCACGTGGTTAGCATGCTGGAATCATGGTCACATGATTGAAATTCTGTTGTGATATTTTGTTGCTTACAGTTTTCAATATGTTAAAAATCAGGCCTAGTAGTAGTAGTAGTATTTATTTTCTTTTTCAAGAGCTTTTAATTTGTAGAGCACATCAAAGACTTGTTTCAATGCCAAATTTTGTTTACTTAAAGAAAACCCAAAAAAATTGTATGTATGGTTATGGGTCATGTTTTTTACCTTTCTAGAATTTTTCATTTTCAATATGGTCATCTTTATCCCCAAATCTAATTCAGTAATTGAGGACTGCGTACAACGCGCTATATCTAAGATACAATGCAGAGAAGCAGCAAACTGCAAGCTACCATGATTGCAGATGGGGTCAGCGGTACGTATAAATGTCTCTTTATATATGAACGTAAAGGTAACTACACGAACCCGAGAAAAAAGCCTCTCCATTTATACATACACGTCGTGAATCGAAGTCGTTCAGCTATGACAGCTCAGTTTTCATTTTCCATTGAAGATTTAGCCATTATGGCAATTTTGTTGGAAGAAGAGGATGGTAATAGAACATAGGGTGTACATCAAGCATGTCAAACTCGCGGCCCACAACGAATATTTTTGCGGCCCAGCCAATATATAAGAAACGTTTTAATAAAAATTTCGTAACTTAATTT